TATATATATATATTGTTCTTATAAAATTATAACATATAGACCTTTGGAAGAAAAGGGAACCCGTTTACATTGTGTTGATTTAGAAATTAACTCATATTAAAACTTTAGGTGTTGCGTCGAGACTTGCGATTTACTCTGACTTAATGTATAAATTCTCATCGTTATTTGCTTTTTTTTTTTCTCTTAAAAAAATAGAAAAAAATTGGAAATAAATATTCTGAAAATTGATTTTCGGTATATGCTTTTCGCCAATATTTTTTTTTCCTGCATAAAAGTTTTTATAATGGCCATATAATCAATTATATAATGTTTAATACGATTCCTTTAAAGCGAAACAGAATTAAAAGAGAAAAACTAACCAAGCAAGAAGAACAAAAATCTGGTTATTATTCTAGAATCATTTGTTTTCATCATAGAAAGCTAGGAGACTAAAATAGAAGCTTCCATTTCCCTTTGAGTATATAAAATTCAAAGATAAAAAAAATCGAGAGAATGTGAATCGAATTAATAGGTTTAAAAATCGATTAAATATTACAATTCTCAAAACAAAATAGTATAAAATTAATAAAAAAATCAAGTATAGACTAAAATATCTTTAAAACAAATATTTCTTAGAAACGAGTTTAAATAGATTAGAATTCAGAGGCTTAAATAACAAATATCGCGATAAAGGGTAAAAGAGTAATTTTAAATCCAGCGAAAAAGCCCATGTTCACTTGTCTGCTCGGAGGAGAAAGAAAAATGTTGGGGGAGAAGAAAACAAAAGCCTCTGTGTTCGCTACATAATTCTTTGAACAGTCTCCTTCACTAATGAAGGAAGCCCCACCCACCTGAGTCCATAACATTTAAAAAAAAAAAAAACTATTTTCTCCGCCATGGGAATTTAGCAAATTTGACGAGAAAGCTTCAAAATCATTGAAACTTCGGTCCAATTATTGCTCGCTACTCAACCCAGAGAGAAAAAAGGGGGGGCAAAAACTCACCTTTACGTGCTTATCGAACCAGCAAGCGAGTGAGATTTTCTTTTCTTGTTTTGGGGTGATGTTTGTTTCTCGGGAAAATCTCACAGAAGAGGGATTCCTTTTTTTGTGCCGCGACTCTATAATTCGCTTCCTACTACCCCCAAATTGCCTTATTTTAGTATTATTTTTTTTCTGGGTTTTGGTGTGTGGCCTGCGTCGCTAACTTCGAGGGCAATCTTTATCAGTTTCAGAAGCTATTTCTGGAGGAGTGATTTGCGCGGTTCATTCATCAAATCTCGGGTTTTCGGGAAATGGGTACTGAGAAAGCGCCTGGTTTCGCGATGAATAATTTGGTATTCAGACGTTTTTGTATCAGTGGATTTGCTCTAGAACTAGAGTATGGTTGGTTTGATTTGATCTAGGGTTTGTCTAATCATCAGAATTTTTCTGATCAGATTGGTTTATCGGTTGCTGACGAGATCAAGAACACCATCTGATGTAATGGTTATGCGACAATGGCGAAGAAGAAGGGTTTGTTCACTTTGTTGAAAAGGATTTTCATTTCGGAAGCTAACCCAGAAAAGGTTAAAAACAAAAACAAAAATCTTGGTTCTTCTGTTTCCACATTTCCTGTTCTTGTTCCGTTTCAGAGTTTCTGACTTGTCTTAGTTTCGATTTGTAGCAGAGAGAGAAGAGACGAAGATGGGCATTTTGGAAGCTTAGGGTCAAGAAAAGGTTACCTTCCATTACAGCACCGCCAAGGGACAGGACAAGAAGTGAAGAGGGTGAAGAACAGAACAAGAACGATGTGGCCGAGGTCAACCAACTCTCTTGTAGTCCTCAACTAGATGTCAGAGAAAAGTTAGAAGAAGATTCAGCAACAAAAGCAGGAAATGCCATCACCGATCCACCACCTGATGATCAAATCTTTAGAAAAAGACAGATTGAAGAACTTTCTGCAATTCGGATTCAAACCGCATTTCGGGGCTATCTTGTAAGATGGCATATACCAGCTTCTTTCCATGTCTATGATTCATGAATGGTTGACTTGTTTGCATTGGCAAAAATCTAGAGGAAAGGAGAAAACATTTTGGTTTCCCTCTCTTGCTTAGTAGTTCATCCGAATTATCCTGACTTATCAGTGAAATATCAATCCAGATTGACAAATCTCAACATGTAATTTAAGAAACACATCCGGGTTCATTTCGATTAAGTGGATTTTGTTCCCTTATCTTTTGTGGATGTATCATATATTGCTTCAGGCGAGGAAAGTTCTACGAGCCTTGAAGGGAATAGTCAAGCTCCAAGCCTATATCAGAGGCCGAGCTGTGAGACGCCAAGCAATGACTACCCTCAAGTGCTTGCAGTCTGTCGTGAACATCCAATCGCAGGTCTGCGCGAAAAGAACACAAATTCCGGGTAGTGATCTCAAGCATTACGAAGAGAGCAAAGAATTTCAGACGTTCAAGGACAAGATTATCAAGGTAACGTGAATCGACAGAGAAAGTTAGTTCGGAAATTTTACATCTATGTGTTCTGTTCTCAAACTTATGTTCGCATAGAGCGTTATGAGACTGTTTCACACGTGCTTCAGGTGGACACCAATAGCCCAAAGAGATGGGATGACAGTCTTATGACAAAGGAAGAGGCTGAGGCACTGGCTATGAGCAAGAAAGAAGCTGCATTGAGGAGAGAAAAGATAAGGGAATATGCAGTCACACACCGGGTATTTTATATGTTTCACTCTTCAGCCATTACAGCGATTTGCTTCGATTTAGATTTTCGCTATAAGTGGAAATTCGTCTGTCTGTAAATTTCAGAAATCCGCGGAATCATACCAGAAAAGACACAACACAAGGTGGAAGTACTGGTTAGACCAATGGGTGGATACCCAGTTAACTAAGAGCAAAGAACTCGAAGATTTGGACTTCTCTTCAAACCCGAATCCAAAAGACGAAACTTTTAAGGACAAACAGCTTAAACCCCCGAGAAATTCTTCGCCCAGAAGATCGGTAAACCACAGAAGACAAGTTTCGGTAGGGGAAGAAGATCCGAACCCTGTCCTTCAGTCGCCCACAGTCACAACACCGACTTACATGGCTGCAACGGAATCAGCAAAGGCAAAGACGAGATCTTATAGCTCCCCGAGGGTAAGACCAGGAAGCTTTGACACACAGTCAGAGAGTTACTCGCCGTACAAGAACAAGCTCTGCCTATCATCTTCCCTTATGACAGACGCTCCAAGCAGAGTTAGGGTTCACAACAATAGCAACACCGTCAATAGATCGAGCGCGTATCAGCAACGATCCCCGGGATTAAAGGGCTTTACCGCGGGCCCCGTGAAATCGAGCCACACGACGTTGAACGATCTTAGCATTAACTCTGAACGTTCGTTACCTAGCTGGAACAGGCAGAGCAGTTTCAGATGAGTTTGTGTTTTTTTAAAGTTTGTCCCTTTTTGTTGAATCTTGAACTGTATATACTTTTTCAAAAGCGTTTCTTTTCAAATCATGTTTTGAAAGTTCGTCCCTTTCGTTGAATCTTGAACTGTATCCTGAATTCTCTTGCTTTCTTTCTACGGGTGAAAGTAGAGTTGACGAGCAATATTTTATGCTTCATTTGATCGACAACTATCATATGACTAAATTATATTATTTAATGGGACTAAAATATTGAACTTGAACCCTAATTAATAATATTACGTATTCTAACATCCATGTGAGGTTTGTTTCATTCTCGTGAGGGGCACATGATTTGGTATCATGTTCGGTTTTCTGTCGTCTTTGTAAGAAGCTTGAAAAAAAAGGACAATGCTGCCTATTACAAAATTTCACTTTTTCAATTCAATAATATATTTTAGATGAAGCATAGGTATCAAGAAAATGAAATTCATCTTTTGGGGTTTTTGGAAAAAAAAAATGTTTTGCAAATTCAAAGGTCCGATTTGATATTCTTGTTCTGTTTTGTGGTTGTTTGGACCAGCTCTTAGTTGATTATATTCCACTAAATTGAGCATTATATTTTTTTTCCTTCACCATATAGTCTAGTGATAACGAATCTGTCCATTGACCGCCCAATTGAAAAAAAAAATATTACTATGTGATGCATACAAAATATATAAAATCATATCCGCTAAATTCTGTAATATAAATTCTTTCAATCGCTATTTGGTGTTTTTCTTTAAACAACATTTTTCGTCAATTTTATACGTATATACATGCCTGGATTTATGCCATGATGTATGTATTTGCAGATTATACGGTAGGAGTGGACGTTTCGATAGGGTACTTTAGAATCAGACTGTACTGAACCGAAAAATACGATAATATATCTAAACTAAACCATCCAAATTTTTTAAAGGTAATTTTTTTAGAAAATTTTTCAAAATCGAACTGAATTTTAAAAAATCCGAGAAACCGAAAATTTGTTAAGAAAATCTATTTTTTTTAATAAACACTGAAACCGTACTAAACCGAGCCAATATAAAATAATAACCGATTGATATATTTTTTTTAGAACCAAAGAATCAAACCGAATAATTTCTAAACTGAACTCGAACCGAATAACAAAACAGCCACCCGATATTTCTGTACGCATATCTCTACGGGTGGTGATAAACGGTCCACGATGAATCCTTAGGATTGAACCGTAAAACCTTGTCATATTTTGGAGATTTTGTATTTATAATAATATATTGATATGCGATACATAAAAACAATAAGATTTTAACATTTCGCATGAGAAAATGAAATTTCTGCAAAATAAATAGAAATGTTTTTTTAACATCCCCAAGAACAAATGCAAGCGATGGTGTATTGCGGCCAAGGGGTGCATTTTCCAATTGCGGCGTTACTCCCGTCGGCTTTGGCATATTTAGCGACGCATAATTTGTTGCACTCTTCGTCCGTACATGCCGCCGGTAATGGTTCTCTGTTCGTGCACTGGTGGCTCACCTCGTCATCCAATTTCACTATCCGTTCCACCATTAACCCGATCAAAAAATCGAATACCCTCGTTACCATACCATAGTTAATTAAAAAAGAAAGAAATTGTAATGGCTTAAGTAGGGATATTTTGGTTCCGTATACCAAACCGGGTCGAATCAAATCAAACCGAAAAACATATAATCGGATTTTTTTAGAATAAGTTTCTTTTCGTAATGTAAAGCAAAGCAAAACCAAATTCAAACCCGGATAGAACCGGAAGTTAATTAAAAAAATATTTATATAAATCTGAATAGTTATAACTATAATTCTACAAAATTGAAAAACATTCAGTCCTTAAATAATTGGAATTCAAAATCCGAAATGTGGACCCCTAATTCTAAGTTTCAACCTACCGGTATTCCTAGCTCCGGCCATCTTGGACTCTGCATATAAATTTTTGAAGTGAAAAGTTATTATAAAAATGAAATAAAACAGATTTCAACAATATCAATATTATATATATATACATATGTAATGAAGATATAAAAAATGTTTAAAATAGGACAAAATAATACTATGTACCACTGAAAGATAGAATCAATGCGAGAACGGCGACAAAATGAATAATTTTCATCATTTTGATGATGATGATGATGATGATGATGATATTTTTTTTTCTCTCCAGGAAACGATATATATATTTGGTGAGGACAAAAGGGTCGCGCAATTGGTACTTATACCAACTCTCATCTCATGTAGCTACGCCGGTTTCCAAAGTATACATGGAAACAAATAAAAATTTACAAGGAAAATGAATGTATGTAATTAGTTCAGTTATTTAATTCTTTTATTTTTAATAATTTATTTTAGGAAATAAAATCTGATTTAAAGCTAATTATGTATAGCGTTTTTTTTAATCAATTAGGTAAATCCAGATTACATATAAAAGTAACTGATAAGAACCAATAAAAATTTTCACTACAAACGGCCACATGAATAATATTCATAACTATTTCAGAATTTTTCATCTTGTGAATCACGAAAATAAAATTATATATATATATATATAAAATATTACCATGACAATTTCAAGAACAACATTAAGGATTCGTTCTCATGAGTGTCGTTGAAAGTGATGGCAATTTTCAGACAATGGGACCAAACAGCAGCCGCCGAATCCATCTGCTCTTCGACAAATGTACATTTTGATTTTCACCGTTTCCACATATTTTATATTTTCCATTTCCGATCCCGATACTAAATTGTGAGATAAAATCTCGTGGTTAATTACAAAATTTCTCTTGCCCTTAATGATGGTTTTGATTGAACATAAAAATAACACCTTTTGCAAAGCTAATGATCATGTCGTAACCTTTCTCATTTTCACATTTGCGTAATCATTTTTTTTTATATTAAAAACTCAATGTTATGGTTTCTGGTTTATTCAGTGGAGACTTATCCAACCCAACTTATCAAATCCAAATTATGTTTGGCCTGATTTAGAGCAACTCACATAATAATTTAATTACTAAGAAAAATATTTTAAATTTATATGGTATATATAATAAACATATGATCTGATTATATCTGTTTTGTATCTATTTAGATGTAGTAAGAGTATAGGTTGTGTTATATAATATGGATAATAAATATATATATATATATATATATATATATATATATACATATTCAATTGATTACATACATTTTCATTTAATGGATCGAACTTAATAAAACAACAATCACATGTTTTACTAGATCATAATTATATCATTTCTAGGTATTCAACTCCTCCAATAACGCATACATATGATTCTCTCAAGATTTCATCAAATCAACTGTTTACCCAAAATCCATCTAACAATTTCCACTGCTTCAAAGTAAATTCTAAATAATTCATTTGGGATATCGAATGATTTAAGCGGTCCATGATGAATTTCTCGATATATTCGATTTGGACGGTTGAAATCCATCCTTAATTTAGCATCATGAAGTGATAATGGCGGAGTATCGTTAGAATCACTTGGAATCATGGACCGCTTAGGATCATGGACCAGAAAAACGAAATGATAGACACACATCACGTAGAATATTCAATAGTCCTACCAAATTTGTAAGACCGACCAAAAATAATTGAACGGATTTAGTTTTTGTAAAAATTGAAAGAAAAAAAAAAAGAGCCGAACCCGGAATGATGATGACCTTCAATTAATGATAATTCAAATTAGATCATGGTCTTTGTTTATCCTCTCAAAAGCTAAATCTAATTATGGGAGTTCGGGGCAAAACACATCCATCGTATGTTGGAAACTCTAAACAAGGGAGAGAAAAAAAAAACATAAAAGCAAAGTTCTTTAACGATGAAACTGTTTTAGTTGACTCCTCTTGCGGTGCTTGTAAACCTGATTAGCTTTTTTCATGCCACACGTGTGTGTGTGTATATACATACGTATATATGTGTGTGCACGTGTGTGTGTGTGTGTGTGTGAGTATGTATATACATCTAAATAAGGACCATGAAATGCACAAACACTCGAGGCCATGACCCTACAATTGAGATCCTTAAGCTCACTTTGAACGGCACACAATATGCTAAATTCCTTTGCTCAATAAGAAGATAGTCTTTGAGCATTGTGCTATCAAATCTTTGGCCCAAGGGCATGTCCCTCTCAACAGAAAGTACCTCAAGCTCAACTTAGAGGATCTCTGTTCTCATAACCAAAACATCCACATATCTACAGTCTTGTTTTGTTATATGTATCCCACTTTGAAAAGTTTTCATGCTCTAACAGTATCACCAAGTGATATCTAATCTTAAGATTAAAAAGGAAGAGATTGAGAGAGAGATGCACTCACCTAGGCTGCAAGTGGCAGAAACAGTTGATCAGCGGTTGCAGAATTGCATTTGCGATCATAAACCGCAGAAGAAAGAGTTGATCAGCGGTTGCAGTGCTGCGTTTGGGGTCATAACCATCAAAAGCAGATTAAGTCAGTCAATAATGTTATCATTTTGGTGATATGTGGTGTGACTCTTTGCTTCTTTAGTCATTGAAGTAAAAGCAAACAAAGATGTAGAAGGGAAGAGCGCATCCATACCGCGTTTCAACAATGACTTCCACAAAGTCCCCCGAGTGATGACTTCCCAACTTCGTCCACTAAAAAGACATCGTTCTCAAATGTTTTGCGTTTCCTGAATCATTTTGCCTTATGGGCCCATATTCTCCCACTCACTCAGCATCTTTTTGCACAGCAATGATCCCCACACCTCTCTCCCATAAGTTAAACTTCACTTTGTTCGTGTTCCTGGTTCCTGTTGTTCAGAGCATGTTCCTGTACACCAATAAAGTAATTACTATCAGAAACAAAAATAATCTTTTCTTTCAAATTCGCCAACTTTTTTGTTTTCCAAAAAGAAGAATAGGAACAAAACAAGGATCTTTACTTTTATTTGTATCATATATTTTAGCAAACAAAATGCAAGAAAAGATATACAAAAGAAAATACACCAATAATTATGCCCCAAACCAAAGAACCCTTTTAATCCTACCTAGTACTATACCAACTGAGAAGAAGGTTTTATTTTTTCCTGTCAACAAATATGAGTGTATTTACACCGGTCAACTCTTTGTTGGTTGGTGTATTACTCAATACGATTGAAGGATTTGAGGGGTTTGGGACACAATCACTACAACCACGTGGGGTTTGTGGCACTTTTCCTTGAACAGAACAACATAAGAGAAGTTGGTCTTAAGAAGTTACTAAAACTCAGTCCATCTTAGTGGACAGTCTTCACACGGATTATAAAAAGAAGATTTGACTTCGCCACCAAAACCCACATCTTTAAATTCTCACATGAGCCCCTTGTTTCCTTCCCACTTTTTTCCCATTAACCTGCAAGACCTTCACGATACTAAAAATGGCAATTCCATATCTCACAATAAACATGCTTTTGATCATTTCAATTGTGACTTTAAAAGCTAACCTTGGCTTCTCCGGGAGCACTTCTTCATTGAAAACACTTCCTCTTGATGGGTATTTGGAGTTTGAAGACGTTCACTTTGCCTCCAAGGACTTTGGGAACAGATTCCATCGTCTTCCTCAGGTGGTTCTCCATCCCATGTCTGTTTCAGATATCGCCACAACGATAAAGCACATCTGGGAGATGGGTCCTGTCTCAAACCTTACTGTTGCTCCTAGGGGTCACGGTCATTCGCTGCAAGGCCAAGCACAAGCCGACCAAGGAGTTGTCATCAGCATGGAATCACTCCAGGGACGTATCATGAGGGTTCACTCCGGGGAATTCCCGTATATCGATGTCTCTGGTGGCGAGCTGTGGATAAATGTTCTGCGTGAGAGTCTGAAATATGGGCTAACACCAAAGTCTTGGACAGACTATCTACACTTGACTGTTGGTGGTACTCTATCCAATGCTGGGATCAGTGGACAGGCATTTCGACATGGACCACAGATCAGCAACGTTATCCAACTTGAAGTAGTAACAGGTTTGTAGATATAAACTAGACCCTTCTACTTTTATACTATTGCCGAACTATGATATTGTTTATAACATAAAGTGTGGTCATTGTACTCTTACCGGATAACAAATTTATGAAGTATGCAGGAACAGGGGAGGTGGTGAACTGCTCGGAGAAACAGAACAACGATCTCTTCTATGCCGTCCTGGGTGGGCTTGGCCAATTTGGCATCATAACACAGGCTAGAATATCACTGGAACCAGCACCAGATAAGGTAATAAGGGAAGTTGCAATGCATGGTGATGTCAACTTTCACTGATAAGTAAGCTTTTAATACGAACTAATGCGAAGAAAAAAAATCTCTACTTTGAACAGGTGAAATGGATTAGAGTGCTGTACCTTGATTTCCAGACATTCAAGAGAGACCAAGAACATCTGATATCTGCCGATAATACATTTGATTACATCGAAGGGTTTGTGATTATAAACAAGACAGGCCTACTGAATAACTGGAGATCATCCTACAATCCTCAAGACCCAGTAAAAGCTAGCCAATTTAATTCTGATGAGAGAACTCTGTATTGCCTCGAACTCGCCAAATACTTCAACCTGGACGAGGCAGATGAAATTAATGAGGTGAGTTGTTATGGATGAATTGTCACATTCACAGATATATCATGATCTCTATCATTATATGGAAACCATATTTGTTTTTCTGCAACCCAGGAAGTTGAGGAATCACTGTCTCAGCTAAGCTACATTAGATCAACACAGTTCCTGTCAGAAGTTTCATATGAAGCCTTTTTAGACAGAGTGCATGTATCAGAGACTAAACTTCGGTCTAAAGGGTTGTGGGAAGTTCCTCACCCGTGGCTCAACCTTCTTATTCCTGGAAGCAAAATTCAAAACTTTGCAGAAGTTGTTTTCAGTACTATCCTGAAGCACAACATCAATGGCCCCATCCTCATATACCCAATGCACAGATCAAAGTAAACATGACATAAATGACTCATCATTTCAGAGATTTTCATGCATCATATGTTCCTCATCGATCTCTGGTTCCATTTCAGGTGGGATAACCGATCTTCTGTAGTTATTCCAGAAGAAGATATTTTTTACTTGGTGGCATTCCTTTCCTCTGCAGTTTCTCCTTCAGAAGAAAATGGTGGTTTGGAACAAATATTGAGCCAAAACAAAAAGATTCTTGAATTCTGCGAAGCATATCAACTTGGGGTGAAGCAGTATTTACCACACTACACAACAAGAGAAGAGTGGCAAACCCACTTTGGGTCACAATGGGAAGTTATTGTAAAGAGAAAACTAGCATATGACCCATTGGCCATACTTGCTCCTGGACAAAGTATATTTCATAAAGCAACATCTTACTTATAACAATATACAATCTAATGGCTTTTTTTGCCTGCCTTAGTCAAATTATCATAAAATCATAAAGAATGCCAAGAACAAAACTAACACTGGTTTGTGTACCAAACTATGGTAGATTGATGTTTCATGAATATATGATCTTAACTGCTATGTCCCTCCTTATCACCTCTGTATGCATGTCACTGCATAGTCTGACGAGCGAGGTACATACGATCATATGATAGCACTTAATTTGTTGTTGTTTCTTCCTGAAAAGAATGTGAAGCTTTAAGCCTCACTTTCCTTGTATTAATCCTATGAGCTAACACATACTTCCTCCAAATCACAGTTCCTTTAGTTTCTAAAAACTGATGCAGTTGTTATCAATCATTGACAGAAAAAAATATCTTTCCAAAGTGTTGTCCAACTGCTCAGAATCCAAAAAATATCGAATGTAAAAAAGTTCTCACTTCTCAGGAAAAAGAACTTGGGAACTACGGTCTATAAGATCTTCAAGTGAAAAGACCCCAAAGTGGCCAAACAGAATCCGACATAATACGCGATTCTTCCTTTTCTGTTGCAGCCACTAAAATAGACAGTCACATGGGGGCATGCGGCCTGCAGTTTCATCCAGTAAAGCGACACACAAGCTTTTAGTGAACATCATTGACTCTTGTAGATATGTTAAAGCGGCAAAATCAGCAACTTTTGTAGTTATTACAAAAGTAACTAGTCTTTGAAGTGCAACGGTTGACCATAAACCAGCAACTTCTAATACAACGACAAAAACAAGAAACTTAATGATATAGACTTTCGAGTTGCCTCAGGTCCTAATCTGGTTGTCTTCATCAGGACACTGTTAGCTCCTAGATTTGTGGATGTCATTGCAACAAATGTAAAACCAGTTCAAAGATACACCAACTATCAAAAGTTATGAGAGGCAAGTACCCATCATTTTAATATTGACTAAGTTCTTACCTTTTGCTACAGAAACTACTCTACATAATGAAAAGGAAGAATATATACAACCATTACGAATCCACCTAGAAGAAATATATTGAGGAGCATTGGCAATGATAACCAGGAAAAGGACACATAGCATAAAGCACCAGAAACGAAATAGTGGAAATATTCATATCATGATGCAACACTTTAGACTTATGCAGGCAATTTTTGGTGTAAATCCAAGTGAAAGGCTTAGATGATATGAGGCAGTCAAGTTGCTACACATGACCACCATTCGTGTTTACCTTCTCATATCCATAACATGTTTCCCAATTCTGAAGATTTGACAATGCATCGTTGCACATGTTTCGAATCAATCATTAACAACAATGTAACATACCAAAGATATCGAACAAGTTACGAATGCAGCTACCAAGTACAAAAAAATGCAGAAGCTATACATCAACACGAATTCAGATATGCCCTTGTCCTCTGATGAAGCAACAGAAGAAACCCATTACGAAACAAATACTGATAAGTTCCCCACTCATTACACAGACATGCACGGCATCAGCTACTTCCCTAATACCCCCTCCCTCCAGAATCCGATTTCCATAATCTGATGTCGGAATATCGTTTATCACAGAAGGAACAGAAACTCAGAAAATTCTCTCGAGTTTCGGACGCAGATTCTGAAAATAGACTAGTGACCTATTTCTCTCCCGAAGCAGCAAAATCGGTTAACTAAGTAGACAAGGAGAAATGACTTCACCGGCGACAAATGATTGCGTACGGTAACTTTCCGGGCGATTTTCTCAGTCAGGAATTTCGCCGGAGTTCCATGATGGTGCTCTTGCTTCGTACATGTCACGATTTTGTTTTTCAAAAATCGAATTTCACTTCGATTAAGGGCCTAATAAACGGCCCATGGACCGTAAGACGACGGCTCATGGACCTCATTTTCCATATAACTCAGTACTCTAATTAAATTTAAAGGTCTAATTGACATTTCGGAAAAAAGGAAACTTGGCGTATTGTGTTGCGTATATACCATTTAACAATTTCGGAAAGCCATATGACAAGATAATTAATTCGTACCGTTTCCAACCGAATTCGTGCAATATTTTCAAACGGTAATCTTTTTATAAAATCAAATTTTTTAGAACCGAATTAAAAAAAAATCGAAAAATCTAATTTAAAAAAAACTAAAATTTTCTTAACAACCGAATGGAACCGAATATGAAATAATAACCGATTGGTACATGTTTTGTAGAATCGAAAGAATCGAACCGAGCAACTTCCAAACCGAATCCACGCCCACCCCCAGCAGTCACCGTATCATATTGAACAACCAAACCCATCAACGACATCAAAGCACAAACAATCAAATCTATCCGAATTCAGACTATTTTTTGAGATCAAACCATTAGAATCATGTGCTCGATGAATCCATTCAGGGTCACGAGCTGGATTGAAAACCGACAACACTTATGCAAGAAACACAACACCAACTATTCTTTAGTACCTCTCCTCGCTTCAGGCTCCGACAACAACAAACACTCATTCTCTGTAAAAAAAAGCCGAAACAAAAAAGTCAAAAATCCAATCTCAACAAGCAAACAGACAACATTTGGAAATGGATAATAGGAATATATACCCTCTTTCTGCTTCAGAAGCATCCCCATTCAGACCAGGAAACGGACCAACTTCATCATCTACATTGTCTAAAAGTAAATTAAGGAAACCAAAATCTGTTAGCAAAACATAACAGGTAAACTTTAAGATGAGAAAGCAAGCATACACACACACACACACCCATATATATGTATTTACCGTTGTCTGGAGGTGCATAACCAAGTAACCAGTTGCGGACACAAAGCTTTGCTAGGACAGGCCGACAAAGAACACGGCTTCTGAATTTGCTGAGTGAACGAGCACCAGCGCTGAAAGACGATTCCGATGCTGCTGTGGTGATAGGAAGGGTTAGCAGATCGCACGCCATGAAAGCCAACATGCCATATTTGTTCCTATGACGCCTCCAATACTCCAATACTTCCATATCCTTATAATGTAACATCGGTAATCTTGCCTCTTCCTCCAGATAAACGTCCAACAAAGATTTCCCACCTTTCTTTCCCTCTTGCTGCTCCCCATATGCTAAAAGTTCCTGTATTATTCCAAGATTTGAGAAAAGGGTATTAAACAAAAATGAAGAAATGTTACAGTAAGAGACATAGAGAGGAAGAACTTACATCTGCAGAAAAGCTTAGGTTGTTTTCCTGTGAAGATTCACCCGAAGAAGCCCCGGTTGTAGATATACTCTTGTAATGTTCAAAGAGCAAATACAAATTTCTTTTCACATCCTCCAACTTTTCCTTGCAACTACTGGGTTCAATTTTATCGTAGCAGTGTTTCAACATTTCAAACTTGATTCTTGGATCGAAAACAGCTCCCATAGCAAGAACGCCACTGAATTGATCCCAATATTCAGTAAACTCGACATGCATCCTCCTAGCAAAATCTTGTAAAAGTCCATCTTCATTCTCCATACTCTCTCTCAACAAACAACCAATTTTCCAAATTTTCATGAAAAACAAGTTGGAAGTAGAGTATCTTGAACCAGAAATTAATCTGGCCATATCAAAAAGGGGCTTCAAGAACTTGCATAGTTTTTCTCCTTTTGACCACTCTGCACCTGAAGGACAATACTCGAAATTTTCATCAATCAGTTGAACTCTATTAAAAGCACATTGGTACGTAACAGCACCTCGAAGCATCATGTAAGAAGAATCCCATTGATCTGCCTCGTCCAACTGAAAAGAAACTTCACTTTGAATACCAGCTTGCTGCATGCATTTCTGAAACAGTTTTTTCCTCTCCTCCGACCTTCTAATATATACTACACATTCTCTAATTTTATGTAGAACATCGCCAACCAGTTTCAACCCTTCTTGCGCTATAACATCCAGCATATGTGAACAACATCTTAAATCGAAAAACGCCCCATTACACAACAAACTATCCTGCAAAGAAAGTTTCTCCTTTAGTTTGTTTTGAACGTTTTCGTTAGCCAGACTGTTATCCAGAGTAAGGGACAATATCTTTTTCTCTATTCCCCAGTCCTTCAGACATCCGAGTATCCTCTCGGCAAACTCTGTACTAGAATGTGGCTCATATATCCAACAAAACGATAAAATCTTGTCGTTCAGGTTCCAATCTTCATCAACATAACGAGCCGCTAAGCATATATAAGTTTCAGTTGTGATACTTGTCCAAATATCCAAAGTCAAGCATACCCGACTGGGTATTCTTGTCAATGAGAGCTTCAAATCCTCTTTCTGAGCCTCGTAGAATTCACAAACATCAGCAATAGCAGTCTCTTTACTGATTAACTCGAAATCTGCTCTCAGAGAGATAAAAAAATCTCTGACACCCTCATATTCAACAAAAGCAAAAGGGAGATCATGCTTTATGATGCACATACTTATCAAATAGCGGACATAACCATAATCGATCCCCCCTTCACGATCAGCCGGCCTCTGGGGCTTTTCCTTACAAACTAAGAGATGACGCCTTAAAGTCGAAGTTCCATGTGTGCTTGTGCCAATTGTATACTCTCTCCGACAATAGTTGCATATGCCCCTTTCTTTACCATCATTACCATCCTCAGCGATTGTAAAATGATTCCAAACATTTGAAGTAAGATTCCTTTTCCGACCCCTTACTTGCCTTTGATTGTCATCGGTATTGACAGGAAAGTTTGAGGTGTTTTCTCCTTGAGTTTCAGTATTTGATAAATCCATCACACTCCAAATCAACCGAACCTAAGACATGAAGTTATATTTTACTCATTAACGACCAAAAAATCGAAACCAGACATCCTGAGGGAACTGAAAAACATCGAGATACAAATCTGGCCACTAAAACAGAGGATCTGTAAAGAAACTTCGAGTCAAAGAGTGTAACCCAAACCTGAAAATGGATTGTTCTCCAGAAATAAATTCGAAACTACTAAAATTCCTTCGACCGAATTTAACACTTTTCCAATAAACTGTTAAACAGGAACAAGGAAAAAGAGGGAGGCAAACAGACAACATGAACCCAAAACCCAAAATTCCTGTCCACTTCGTTCCTGGTTTCTGTTTCACGAAATGGGTTTTTGGTTTCCAGACAGAGGAACCGAATCTTAGTCCTCCGACATGCAAATGCAGACTCCGACAGTAAACATAGGGAAAACGTAAAACTTACCGAGTCCAACGGTCACAAGGTACTCTGCTTCTGGTCTCTGCTCGAGCCTGAATCGGACAGTGATGAAGAGAACAGAGGAGGAAGAGCTGGAAAATTTTGCTGTTTTTGTGTGGAGATTGAGATGAAGAAGTGTAAAGGGTTAGGGTTTTTTTAAATACGTTACCAGCTCGCGGGCTAGCCCGCGAAACCCGTACCATCCAGTTGCCTTCAACATGTCATCCTACGTGTGTTTTTTTTCTTGAATTTTTTTAATTGGGATCAATTTGGTGAATAAAAAAATCAAATCATTTTTATACAACTAAAATAATCATTGTATTTATAATACATAAATAAAAATCCGGAAAGTGGTTTGAAAATGCAACAGAAAATGCATTAATGGGAACCAAACCCTGTCAGTTTATCGTCAAGGCATGCATTCTTAATGTGGCAGGTGCTCCAAGAGCGTCTCCCCACTATCGACCGGCTTGAGACATGGGGAATCCAAACTCCAAATCAGTGCATTCTTTGTTGCGCCGATTTGGAATCACATCCCCACTTGTTCTTTGGTTGCAGATTTAGTAACACGATTTGGTTGTACTTTGGACGATTCATGGAGGATCCTCCACCGACACATCTCCGGTACTTTTTGGATTGGATCAGCCAATCTACAAACCGCGACGAGGTTACGATTAAGAAGTTGCTGACGCAAGCTATCACATACACCATTTGGATGGAAATGAACTCTCGCATTCATAGAGATCGACACCTTACTATCCACCAGGCAAGACTCAAGGTCGACCGGACCATGAGGAACAAACTAATCTCTCTCCACAATCCGAGCACGACAGTGGTATCGCATTACTTCATCTAGGGGAATGTAACTTTGTCCATTTATGTATGGAGTTCCGGTTAGAGTTGTCTTTCTGTAAATATTAAGACTTTTGTTTTTTTCCTTTGATATTAATTCAATCACATTACATCAAAAAAACATCAAAAAAAATTTATCGTCAAGCAATCTTGTAGGGAATTGCAATCCCTCTTTGTAAACTTTTGCCACTGTTCCGTGCCATCACAGTGAGAGGAAGACGTGTCATGTTTTTTAAGTTACTGAAATCATTTCTCAGAGAAATTGGTAAGAACAAAAAAGAAACACACACGCTAGAGTGAAAACTAAATCTTCCAGATTCCACAATGTATCCCCTAGCCCGGAAACGGGCCAGCTCTAATCAGCGCAGGCCAGGTCGTTTCGGGTTCGATTCCAAAACCGAACTCATTTCAGGCCGCTTTGACTCACGTGCTAAACGAAACGGTTCGCGAGTCAAACAAAATATCAAAATTTAATAATATATCTGTATATATTCCGGTAAGGAACCAGCTCGGGATTGGGCCAAAATGGCTCGCTCGAACCGTGGCTTAGGCATGGCTTACATACCCGACCAAGAAAATCTTGACCCGAATCGCCTAAAAACAGGCTCCGCGGGTCAGCATGAACATAGAGAAATTTCGGAAACCGGCTATCCGTAAAATCGTCCGAAAAGCCTATGGATGTTCCGTTAGCTAATGCTTAAGACTTCAGGCTGCCACGATCAATCTGACACCAGCCATCAAGATCAATCTTCCCTAGATTTGTGGCCCTGATGGATCACTGGATCAGGAAAATTCTTTCGGCTTCTCCAATTTCTAAAAATCTTCACACTATTCAGTTTATGCATAGAAAATTGTTAATCAATCGGATTAATTTACTCTCTTAATCTCACAAGATGTTGGAATAGACACTGTCAAAAAAATCAGAATGGTTAGAACACATATGAACACGTTTCGCCTGAATCTATCATTGCTGCGGCGTATCCAGTTTGCCTAGACCTGTTATCGCTTGATATAAGCTTAGGAGACGCAATATTCGTATTTTGTATTTGTTTCGTATACCACCGCGAGTGGAATGCGTCCAAGGACACGTGAAAATTGCGGTTTACCACAAAGGTTCGAGGGGATCGGACACAGTTTTGTTCTTGATGTTCCCAAAATTTTCGTACCTTTTGGAAATCATGTATTAATTTCTTTAGATTTAATATGTATAATAAAAAAAAAAGGACCCTGCCAATTAATTACCAACAAATGATTAATGAATGACGCGTTCATCCTCAAAACTATTGGTGTTCGGATCTGACGTGAGTTCCTTCTACATGCAAGTCATCTCAAAAGGTCTCGAGACTTCTCCTCTCATCACGCTCCAATTCACCAAATCTCTTCCATTTCTTCGAGACTAATCCAAGCAATTCCCGTCGGGTAATCCGGTAAAAAAAGGCGGCTTCTGTTCATAGATTTCACTGAATTGATTCGACAGACTTTGATTTGGGCGAAACGGGTTCCGTCGATTCTTGAGCATTTTGCTTAATTTTGGTCAAATGGATGTAGTTACCGATGGATGAAAGCTGAGGGGCTTTCGATTGTGACAAAAGGGTTTCGTTGATTTTTGGTAAATCTAGAGATGGTAGGAACAGCGGAGAAGATGATACGTGATCCGAACCCGACCAGTTCCGCGGAAGACAGGCTTGATGAGATTCGTAGGCTGATGGGCAAAGCCGACAATGATCCGTTGAGGATTGCGTGTGTCGGAGCAGGCGCTTGGGGCAGTGTTTTCACTGCAATGTTGCAAGAATCTTATGGCCATCTTAGGGGAAAGGTTCTGGTGAGGATTTGGAGAAGACCCGGTCGAGCTGTTGATAAATCCGTCGCCGAGCATTTGTTCGAAGTGATCAATTCGAGAGAAGATGTGCTGAGAAGGTTGATTGGTCGATGTGCGTTTCTAAAGTATGTAGAAGGAAGGTTAGGGGATAGGGTTTTGTCTGCAGATGAGATATTGAAAGATGGGTTTTGCTTGAATATGATAGACACTCCTCTCTGCCCGTTGAAGGTCGTGACCAATTTGCAGGAGGCCGTGTGGGATGCCGATATCGTGATCAATGGCTTGCCCTCGACTGAGACGTTTCAGGTTTTCAAGGAGATTAGCAGGTACTGGAAAGAGCGGATCACGGAACCGGTCATTATCTCGTTGGCTAAGGGCGTAGAAGCCGAGTTAGATCCTCACCCTCGGATCATAACCCCCACTCAAATGATCAACCGAGCAAGTATACTTTTGATCCTTCCATGTTTGTTTCGTCTGTTCATGTTCTTGTTTGATGCTGTATGGATTAGATACCTGTCTTCCACTGTAACTGGCTAGCTTATCCCTTTTGTACATCCCGAGTTTTGTTGCTGTTTGATTGCATGACCCCGTTGTGTGTGTCGGCTTCTGCAGCTGGTATTCCGCTCGAGAACATTCTCTATCTCGGAGGGCCTAATATCGCCTCGGAGATATTTAACAAGGAGTACGCCAATGCACGGATATGTGGGTCCGAAAAGTGGAGGAAGCCTTTGGCCAAGTTCTTGAGGCAACCTCACTTCATAGTGTGGGATAATGGCGACCTCGTCACGCATGAAGTAATGGGTGGCTTGAAGAACGTTTATGCCATCGGCGCTGGTAAGATCCATCTAATCTTTTAGATCATCGAAGGATACACCAAAATCACGGATCAGAACCTTTGAATCTTGTTTCTTCTATGATTTTGCATGTCCAAAGGGATGGTGGCTGCTCTAACGAAGGAAAGCGCTACCAGCAAATCGGTTTACTTTGCGCACTGTACTTCAGAGATGATATTTATCACTCATCTACTGGCCAAGGAGCCCGAGAAACTTGCCGGGCCTTTGCTCGCTGATACATACGTAACTTTGTTAAAAGGCCGCAACGCGTGGTACGGCCAACAGCTCGCCAAAGGTGAACTCAACCTTCAAATGGGCGACAACATCAAAGGCAAAGGAATGATTCAGGTACCCACCACTGAAACCAACACTTCCAACTCCACTCTAAACCTTATGCTCAAGTACATGGAGTATACTTGTATATAATGACAAACACACAAACATACCTGCGGATACAGTTTTTTGGTGAATGCCCTCTAAAGATGAAAGGGTCTACTCCATTGTATCCTATAATGTTCATTTTTATTCTTTTTCATAGTCCTCGGTCCGACCTATTATCGTAAGCCATTGCTGATAGACATATCACAGGATAGCAATCTCAATCTGGAATGTTGTTTTTCTTGGTCACTCATGGTATTATTCATTTACGTACGCAGGGGGTCTCGGCCGTGAAGGCGTTCTTTGAGCTGTTAAGCCAGTCCTCGTTGAGTCTTCAACACCCCGAAGAGAACAGACCCGTTACCCCCGCCGAGCTCTGTCCCATCTTAAAGATGCTATACCGAATCCTTATTACCCGGTACGCTGACTTTTTTTCCAGCACGCACATTCCTTTCTCCCGCGAAAGCTTAAACCAGATTTCGGGTGGATGAGTGTATTTCTCCTCGATTGTTAGGGAGTTTCCATGCGAGGCGATACTTCAGGCGCTGAGGGATGAGACGATGAACGATCCGCGCGAACTGATAGAGATTGCTCAGAGCCATCTGTTCTATCAGCCGATGCTTCTTGGCCAGAAACCTTGATTTCCAGTCTCCTCCGCAACTTTTATTACACAGGTCTGCTGTGTGTCGGAACAAAGGTTTCATGTTCTTCTGGTTTAAGAATTCATTCTCCATCTCTCTGCTACTAGATTCGGTTGCCTGTGTGAGTTTTTTGTGCACAAATCTTTGCAGGTTCCTTGTTGATCTGTGACTTGTAATTTCTATTGACAAATCAAATAGGTTAGATTCTGTTTCTATAAAAATTTAATCAAAAGTGCTTTATGGAAAATCATTTCTTTTTTTCCCTTCAAATTTTGCAAACTAAGAAATTTGCATCGGTAAAAAAATGGATTAGTTTTAGGGGATTTCATCAATATTTAATACTTCCATTTTTTTTTTAGAAGAAAAAGTGTTATTTTGGTACTTATTAAATCCAAATGAAATGTAATCAAGAAAACTTTGGAGAGTCACCTATCATAAAACCATCCCGCGTCTGCGTTTGCATCTGCGTCCGCGTTTGCGTCCGCGTCGAGACGAACTTCAGGCGGTTATTATTCCTAATCCCATTGCTTTTCAGCAAACCCGAACGGCCGAACCAGAAATCAAATAGGAAGCGTTTCCGCTGAGCACCGCCTCAAGCGACGCCGTTTCTATGTCTCTAGTGGACTACGACGTCTCCTCATCGGACGACGACGACGATCGGAAGGAGAAGCCGCCCTGTCCTCAAACAGAAGCCTCTCCTGCGCCGTATGTGGCTCGTACCGTCTTGTAAGTGCGTCTGCGTGTTCCTGGTCTTATTCTTTGTCTCTGGTGTTGTGAATCGAGAAATTTGGGGATGATTTTAGGGTTTCTGGGTTCTAAGAATTTGGGCGTTTAAGCCGTATCTTCGGTTGAAGTTCAGATATCTGTGTTTGTTGAATTTGGGCGTCCGCGTCGAGACGAATTTGGGTGTAGTTTCTCAATGTTGTGATTGTGACTTGATTTGTGTAGAGTTAGGACATTATATGAGTATTGGACCAAGTAGATGCAGTCTTTCTTTATTTGTTTTCTGGGATTTTCTGGTAGCTGGTGATGTACGCTTCTTCTACTAAGATTGCCATGCGATCACTATTAGAATCATAGCTGCAAAAATGGGCCCTTTTTTGTTGTTTATGCTTGTTCATACTTCAAGTTTAGTCAGATCTTTAGCAGGTTCTGAATTTGGATATGACTTGAGTTTCTTAGAATTAATATTAGTGATAGAGTTGGATTAACTGCAGTTTAGTCAAGATTTCAATCTGTGTTTTCCTAGTTTCGGGTTGCTCAAGAGGGAGTAAACCATTACCATCCACATGAACGTTTGATTCTAGCCTTCAGTTTAGATGATTATAACTCCTAAATGAAGTAACTGTACTGGAAGTTCTCGGTTTCTGGAGTTGTAGTCACGATTACTGTTTGTAGGAAGCCCAAGTCTTCTCCAGCAAAGCAAGAAGATAGTTCAGGGCTTCCGCCACCGATGATTGAGAAGCTTCCAGATGCTTCGCTCCTTTTGAACTCACCGACTATACCACTGGTGAGCGGTAATGACCATGCTTCACGTGTGGCCGCTGCAAGAGCAGAAAGCGCATTACGGAAGAGAGACAGAAATGGGCACCCTTCATCTCTTCCCCGCAGCAAACTTCCAAAAGGAAAATTGGCTCATTCAAAGAATATTCCAGAAACTGTTGGCAGTTTGCTGTTGCCTCCACAGCTCAAGGGAAGGTTAGTCCCTCACACTCAGTATTGTTCTTCATCTGTATTTGCTTCTTTCCCAATTTGATTTTCTTTTTTGGGTATTGCTTTCTTGGCTCTGATTCTTAACACTCATTTGTAGGAGTCGCAATATTCTGACAAATCATTTAGATATTTTAAAAAAAATGTATAGGCGGGTTTTGTGTCGTATATTTCGGATCAAGGATATTGCAGAGATATTCCAGTGGTGACATCTAACCAGATGCAAGAATCCTAGGTTTCCCTGTGTTTGGCATTGCATACTTTTAATTAAGAGTTATCTACTCTTCAACAAAATTTACTGTCCAAAGGTGTTGGATTTATGTTTTTCTCCTCATTTGAAAGCAATCAGAGTTGCTGCATGAAGCATACAGGTTTCTAAATTGGAGAATTGAGGAATTCCTAGAGAATCTAGATGTAGGGTGAGTTTGGGAACGCAGACCATTAGCTGAGTCCGGCCTCTTCATAGATCTAATTTGCTGCATCCGTCTTAGAAAAATCTGAAAACGTCGATCTACTTTCACAGTGCCTCTGTCTGAATGGAATTGGAAGACTTCTGAGGTTCATTAGCATTATGTAGAAGCCGATTGAACCGCTATCGTGGATTCTTGTGTATTAAGAACAGTTCTATCCGATTCACATTCTTTATCGGATGTCTGTTTCAATGCTTTACCTATGATGAAGAATCATTTGCCCTTCTCAGTGAAACACAATTTGATTGTGAATCACGATTTAGTTCACTGCACACTGCACAGAGTTTTCCGGATGTTTCTTTTTCTAATATAAATGTCGTTTTGTTAATGAAACAGGAGCAACGTTGCCACAGAGGACATCGGGAAGCTTTTTGTAAAGAAGCAACCTGACTCGGGAGCCAGAGGATCTCCAAGTCAAGCATGATAATCCTTAATCTCTTAATCCGAACTTTCTTGTGCCTTTGAAACGCTAAACCGATGTTGTAGCCGTTAGCTGTTCAGGTAGATAAGATTGCATCAGCCATTTCAGAGAATTTTGCAAGGTATTTTCACAGTTTCACTTTGTTTTGGACGAGACCTAATATGTTGTCTGTGAAGTCACTGTTGGTTTACGGGCACATTAGGTCTGTTGTTTTCACTAACTCCCTAAAGTTTCAGTATCTCTGCCTTGTCTTGATGAAGTTCCAAACACAATCTACTGAAAGCCTCTAAACCAGGCAAAGCTTCAGTATGGTATTTTGTTTCGGGGGCTTATCCGGTATGGTTTGTTCCGGTTTAATCCAGATCGATATCGGTTTTTGTTCGGTTGAGATGAAACTGGAACGGAACTGAACTAAACTCGGTTAAGGTTTCTGTTCGGTTCAATCGAATTGATCCTGGTTATCACCGGTTTACCCATATCAAAGAGTCCATTGGGTTTGCTTGCAGCGGATCTTTTTCGTAAGTACAGTTGCTACAAAGCGGACCGAAATCGAATCAGATGATACTTGATCGAATCCGATTTTAAACAAAAGAAACAATAATAAAATAATCAAATATTAAGGTGATTGAAAAAACTAAAGTTTAAAAGAGACAACGATTCTGAATGAAATTAAATCTAAAAGTTTAAATGGTATGGTTTTTTATATAATTAAACCAAAAAAATTGACGAGATCTATTCAATTCGTATAGAATCTACGAAAATAGATTTAGTTTCGGATCGATCTCTGCTAACGCATATACGGTTTATTCTATTAGGTTTCTGTAATTATTTTCGCCCCAATTCAATATTTTAACTTGCGAAACTATATTAACTCTATAATCTAATTTCTCTAAATCTTACAAACTTGTATAAATTCTAGATGAAAAAAAATCCTATAAATTCTCCAACTTGGTTCCTGATATTTATGGAAAACTATCTTATTGTTTCTTTATATTCATCGTAATTCTCCAGAGATACGTTGATAAACATACCCAAAAAAATATCAATAAAAGAACATGCAAGGAAAAAACCCAAAAAAAGCAGACAAATAAAGTTTGCACAAAATTTTTTTTTTTTTTTTTTTTTTGGTCACCAATAGATAAAATGACAAATTTTGACATGTTGGGGGAGAATGGCGCCGCAAAATCCGATCGGACAAGAAATCTAATTAAGCAGAAGAAGTTCCCATCGTAACCACTTTTATTTAGTCTTTAAGAATTTCGAGCCAAATTATGATTGATTCTCCCTAACTTTACATTTGGTGGGTCCAATAAACGCAATTATTTGATTCCATTATTATTAAATGATAGCAGCAAACATCACATGAGGACCCCATCCCATCAACCAATCCCAATTATACATTGCATGATTAATATCAACCATTTTCAAGAAGAAAAAAAATTGTCTCTTGCATTGTGTGATGTGTATGTTTACGTCTCCCAAACATTAAAAATAATTATTTTATTAGTCAAAAGATTATTTGGCAAAAGTGAAGACGTACCAGCTTGCAGCCATCAATTAAATTTTGAAAGATAGATTTTGTCTACCATACTGTATAGTAGATATTTATTGACATATATTAACTTAAAAATATTAGATTTTGTTATATTGAAAAATTTCACGAAGAATCTGTACACTACAAGAAAAACTGTAATTTGCGACAAAACTTGTGACGGATATATCGGTCGCAATAAAATTTACGACGGATAGAGACTGAGTGACAGAATAGTGAAATTGAAATTCTATCGCGGTCGAACGCAATCGCAAATATTTATCGCAAATTGTCGGACGGACACCTACACATATTTCTATCTTAATTTGCGACATATCGTTATTCTTATTGCTTGCGACATATATATATATATATATATATATATATCGCAAATTGAGGCATTTTTTGTAGCGTGTAATTTTGTATTAGAAAATACAATACTACTAAAAATTTTGTTTCGTTATAAAACTAGATATTTAGGGGAAATGCGAGTCTGTAATTCAAATATAAATAAAATATACATGATCTTTGTGCAAGTAAACATTTCGTTCTATAATAAATTTCTAATTTTATCAAAGAATATTTTAAAATTGGTGGAATGTCCTAATTTGGATCATTAAAAAAACTTTCCGTTCTAGAACAAATATTGTTTGTGTATAAATTATAAAACATGATGTTTTTTTATATTGAAATACAATTTTATTATGGAAATATTTTGTTTGTTTCGAGTTTACCAACTATTTTGTTTCATTTGTAAATAATCGAATCAAATAAAAAATAGAATTTATTATTAACAAACCAACTTTATTTAAACTAAAAATCAAAACGCCTAGTTTAGGTTGATTCCGGTGTGAATCAGCCATTTTAAATCATAGTAATTAGGGCCTCTTTTCAAATTCTTTGCAAAATAGGGGGGAAGAAAGTTGAGAAAAAAAACCTCCACACGATTGTTGCGTTCCAAAGTTTTGCAAGCTTTTATACAAACATCGAGGGGGGAAAAGGGTTTAATGTAAAACAGTAAAATTGCACTTGGGGGTTGATTTAAATATTTATATTGACGTCGTATGAATATGCTATAGTCGCAAACTCCAAAAGATTCTTGTCCGCTTTTGTGTCCATCTATGCATTCATCTTTTATCTCTATGTATATCCACACATATATGGATGCATGTGTATATATACACACTCTGTTTATTATCGATTTCTAAAAGTAATAAATATTACCGAAAAAATAAATTCCAATTTGCATCTTATAAGACCAAAAAAAAAACAGGAAATTTATTGACAGAAATAAAAGGAGGAGACTCTGTCGGGAGATCATGAAGCTGCCCACTCTCTAACATGCAAATATTTCCTTGACCGATGTGTCATTTGTGTGTATATGTATATGTACAATCATATTTACTTTACTTCATATAAATAAAAAATAAAAATAAATTATACGAGATGCGTTGGTCTGTCCCTGGTATAGTCGTCACATGGGAAGTGGGCCCACAAACAACTGGCATGTCAATTACAAAATCTATCTACTTTGCCCACTCAGCATCAGCATCACTCCATGTGACGAGTGGGTCCCACGCAGACAATTTTTCACTTTTCCCTTTTTGCCCCCCAAAAAACATTAAATTTTTCACCCCATGAATAAATAATTCATGAGAGAAAGGAAGGAGAAAAATAATAAAAGCAATTTGCTCTCCCCACTTTTGCTCCAAAGCCCTCTATTTATTATTTAAATTATTATTTGAAATTCAATTTAAGAAGATTAAAATTACACTGACTCAATTTTCCCCAACGCACGATCAACCATATAATAATTGTTCCGCAACTCAAGAAGAATTAACCAATGGTATTTAGTCGTAATTTATTGAAAAACAGTGAGGCTTTTGTTCTTCCGTTCATTTGAAAGATAAATCATCATACCATGCTATGGTTGACTCTCCATTTCATTCCTCTCTCCAAAGGGAGTTACATTACATGTTACATATGACTGATTGCTACATATAGTATATATATATATAAGTGAAGAAGTATTGTAATTTCTTTTCACTTCTGTCTTTTTTTTTTTTTGCTTCTTTCTTTTTTTTTAATATAAAAAGGATTAAAAATAGGAGAGCACGTGACTGCCCCTCCTCTGCTGCGGCTGCTGGGGTTTGTTTTATAATGTATGCATTTTGGTTGTATTGGGGGGCAGAGACACACATGATGGATGGTGAGGATGGATGATGATGATGAAAGTAACATGTCTTTTGGTGGTGGTAATGGAGGAGGATCTCTACAACATCTTTTTGATGTGAGGTTACTTTTGTTTTTCTTTGGTTATTTTTTTTTATCAGCTTCACACCCTTCCCTGCAAAAAAAAAAAACCAGCTTTCACAAATTGATTGACTATTTTACCAATATTATATCCATATATACATATATGTATATATTGATGCTTCTGCAATCAGCTAGAGATACGAGTAGACCAACTTGATGACTCTGCCTTTAAATAAATCGCAATAAAATCATTTGTTTAGCCAAATAATTAACCCAAAACATATATTAAAAGAAAAGAGGAATCCAAGGAGGACTAACCTCGCTTTGTATTTACTTAAAAAAACGCATTTGAATACATAAAACAAATAATAAAACCGAAATTGGATGGATTATGATTAAAAACCCTTGAATTTTTTTTAAAGTGATACTTTTGTTCGACAATTTAGAATCTGAATAATATCGAAAACAAAACCCAAATTCACAAAATAAAACCTCGCGTTCCATCATCGAAAAGGTTTTGGTGTTTTTCTTGTCGACTTGAGGTTTTTCAAGTCATTAAACCTAAAATATTTTTCTCACCTTTTCTTTTTTGCACAGAAACATCGAATCAAGGAAAAAGAGAGAACGCACCTAAAATCGAAGGAAAGCTTATTATCAGATTCCGACAGGGCACGTTGGACCGCCGTTGCCTGTGTACATTCCGATTGCCCCATGCCCTGATGAGAACCTGTCGTATCCATTCCATTTTGTAATCTCAAAATCTCATATTTATAACAAATCCATACCAGAATATATATATATATATATATATACACGTATCGAGATTCACCTCGGCATTTGGCAATTGTACGATTTGAACGACGCCATGTCTATCGCACTGTTACTATTACTGCTAACACAAGAAGATGAATACAAGTCTTTGTTGTTGTTGTCGTCCTGTGACTCGTTGTTGTCTCCGGCCGAGAAGGGGGAGAGGAATTTACCGGCAAAGGATGCTTTCGTGGGCGACGCAAACAGGCTGTCGGGTAAATTGTGTTCCAAACTGAAGAAGATCGGATTATGCAAACGTTCCCAGAAGAAAATTCTGACAAAATCGTCGATTCAAGAAACGTAGAACGGTAGAAGTTGTGTTCAGTGTTCATACCTTTCTGCAGGGCTTTCTTTTCCGTTACCATGATCCGAAGATTCTTCGGAGCAGAACCCGTTAATCTCGGAGGACGAGTTCATAGAACCTGTGGCGACATTCACAGAGTTAAACCGATATCGGGGGATTCGAGTTTCTCTTCGAGAGCACGAAATGATACGAAAAGAAGTGATTATACCTAGAGGGAGAGGTTCTTGGCCACGACTGAACGGAGAAAGAGGGAGCGACTGATTGAAGAGGCTCGGGGGATGGAGCGAGTTCCCAGTGGATAAAGTGCGGTGATGGTTATGCTTTTTCACATCAAGAATCTGCAGATTCATCAATCTCCTGCTCTGAAGCTCAAGGGCTTGCTCTTCATGCTTCCTTCTCCATATATCTTGGCTGTTGTTGTTGTAGAAAATCCTTGCCCCTTCGCCATGAATACGAATCCAAGATCAGAACTATTGCATAACAATGTAAAGATTTGGAAATTTCATCCCCGGGCTTTCGAGTATTTTACCGAGGCTGAGATCGAATGGGTCTCTAGAATCTAGAGCAGTAGGGGTACCACAAGGTGACAATAACTCCACCCGATCCAATAGTTGCTTGCTCCTTAAGAAATCAACCAAGAATTGCGTAAACAACATCGTTTTCTGCAATTTTTCTCTCTTGAAATCGAGAAGGGGGATGAGTTAGGGAGAAAGAGAGTGTACCTGTACTTGTCTGGAACTTTGCCTTTCTCCTTGTAAGGCTTTACAAGAACTCTTGCATCACAAACAAAGTGAGGGTTTCCTTTCGCGAGGATGGTTTTCACTGTCTCTGGATACACGAATGTCACAAACCCGAACATCCTCTTCTGCTGGTAAGGGATCCTCACATCTTGTACAGGCCCGTACATGCTGCACAAACAAAGAACATAGACAAGATTCTATTTCATGGGCGAAGGAGGGAACATAACAGGAAAAAAGAAGGATAATCTGAAGAAGAAACCTGAAGTAGTTGGAGACATCTTCCTCCTTGAATGTGCTGTCAGCAGGGAAAGTCAAGTAGATCTGTCTGGAAGCCGGGCTTGCCATGGCAGCAGCACTGTAATCGCTCCTCTCAAGCCTTGATCTTTCAAACTTGTGCAAATCTTCATCCATCATCAGAGCAGCAGCAGCTGCAGCAGCTCTGCAATAACAAAAAAGCCCATGAGAATCTACCCAAATGTGCAGGAAAATTGAGTTCAGAACCTCATTTTGCTTACCTCTGGGTCTCATTTTGTTGCTGCTGAAGAAGAAAGTTGATCCCTTTGGGAGGGTAAGGGAAAGAAGAACCACCCATGAGCTGAGAAGCAGATGGGAATCTTTGGTGGTGAGAAGCAGATTTGGATCTGAGAATCTCATGGCACTGCTCCATCATCTCAATCTTGTTTGGAGAGCCATTTTCAAATCCACCAGCTTGGTCGCCATGGACGAATCTGCAGCTACTTCCATTTTTACAGTACCCCCTTGCATAGTACAAGCATGGCCTCCACCCACCAAGCCCTGAAACAGAATCTTCACTCGGCAAGACATCCGAAACTGAGAAGCTTCTTCTATGGAGAGACCCAGATCCCCAATAATGAGGGAAGAGTATGGGATCTGCGTTGGTGTTTCCATTTCTTGCAGGTGGGCTTGAGGACAAGTCAGGCTGCTGGTAATAAAACGGCTGCTCAGATGAGTTTCTCGGGCTGACAAGATTGATAGAGGGGTTCATGTTACTTTTGTTGTCATTCAAGAAAGAAAGCTGTTCTTGAAGTGTGAAATCATCCATGACATCACAAGAAGCTCCTCCTCCATTGCCATAAAAGGGTAAAGAAGCTGGGTTCAGAGAGGAGCCTCCGCCTTTACTGGGACTGACCAAGGTGTCTCCACTTGGCAAATCAGGGGAAGAAGAGGAAGAAGAAGAGCTGTTTGGGATTGTGAGGGGAGGGATGTTAGCAGAGAAAACCCTTGAAGAAAAAGAGCTCTGCCTAGGGTTTGGTAGAAAAGGAGATGGAGAAGAAGGTGTTGAAGGAGTAGGAGGAGATGTAGACGAAGAAGAGAGGTTAGGAAGAGAGAGACTGAGCTCTCTTTTGGCCTTGAGAATGACCGAGTGGACAAGAGCTTCAGGGCCAAAGGCCAATCTTATCATCTCCTTTTCAGCATGGTCTTGCAGAAGAAGCAGACCCATGATTCTTGAGGCATTTTCTGGGTCCAAGCTTTGGATTCTTGAGAACACTATCCTTGTTGCTTCATAATCATCCATGGCAGCTTGTTCTGAACTGCAGTATCAGGTGAAGTAGTTTGCTGAAGTAAGAAATTTCTTGCTCACTCCCAGTTTTCTCTCTGTTCGAATAGCTTTTTGTTGTTTACAAGTAATTTGTTTTCTCAACTACAAAACCCTAACCTACCAAACAAGAAGAAGAAGAAGAAGAAGAAGAAGAAGAAGAAGAAGAGCTATAGATCTATCATCTTCTCCACCTTATGTTTTCCTCACTAATTCCTGCAAAATTCAGATGGAAGGGAGTAAATAGAAGAGAGGAGAGAGAGAGAGAGAGAGAAGAAGTGGTGATTGGAAAGAGAATTCTCGTGTGATTACCGAAAAAAAAAAGGGAGAACAAAAACATGGTGGAGATGTCATATAGTCAAAAGCCTATATAGAAGAGAGAGAGAGAGAGAGTAAAATTGTTTTGAATTTTTCTGCAGAGGAAAGCAAGAGTAAAGAAAGAAAGAAAAAACAAAAAGAAATTAACTTTTGCACACACATATATATCATGATGCTCAGATAAGCTCTTAATCATCCAAACATTTCCAGAAATGCCAAATCCAGAGGCTAAACTTGAAAAAAAGCGACAAACTTTATATCACCCATGAGGTAGATTTTTTCCTCACCTGCTCATGCTCTCACATGTATCTAGAAAATGTTTCTGGAAAGCCAAACCCAGAAGCTTAAATTCAACAAGGAACAAACTTTACCATCTGGGTTTTTTCTTCTCTTCTCCCAAAATTTTCCCGGAAAAGATGAACCCAGAAGCAGAAAACGAAGAGAGAGAGCAACAGAAAGCAATAAAATTTACCGAGTATTTTAATTTAATTCCACACCTCTCTAAATCATTCAAAACTTTTCCACAAAAGCCAAACCACCGCCTTTTTCCATGCCCACTTGCAGAGCTCCAAAAGTTGCAGAAGATAGAAACCACCGAATAATCTCTCTCCCTCTCTCTCTCTAGAATAGGAAAAAAAACAGAGGAGAAGCAGTGAGAGAGACACTGAGGTAGATTTGCTTTGGCTTTGAATTTGAGGAGCGCTCTCGGGTCCGTCTGAGTGCGTCGCTTCAAATGACGCTGAGCGTCCTCTCGCATCTAAAGCTACCCCGTCTGACAAAACCACTGTTTACTGTCCGTATTCCAGCTCCAGATCGAGGCCATGATTGACCCCACGCGCTCCCTGTTCGCGCGTAACCTTCACGCTCCCATGGGGCTCCATCAACGTGGGTGGATGTGACATAACCAAAAGACTCTCTTTCCAAGCATTCAATTCTCTCTCTTGTGGAGTTTTGTTCTTCATGGCAACGGAGTCAATGCCTCTCCAATCATAGATATTAGATACACAATCCCTAGCCCCCCTGAAAATTAATTAGCTAATTGTATTTATTAGTTAAGATTCTATACAATACAACTCTCGCCCCACAAAAGATTTTAGTGTCAAGTTTTTTATGAAACTTTTTTGCGACATATGTTTGATTCGAATCTTTTTTTTGTGTGGATGAAAATTTTTACCAATAAATAGAAAACGATCCAAATACATACAATAATGTTTATGAAGTATACACCTATGACTAAAAATTACATATATAAATATCATGGGTGTGTGCATGGAGGTGGGTTTTTTGTTTTTTCTCTCTAATACAACAATTGAGAATTGACAAGCCACGTCATCAAATCTGAACAATATGTTAAGTAAAATTATCCAATTTTCGGACATCTAAATAAATTTGATATCCACGAATATCTCACTAATGAATTTTACGAACTAAATCATCAACCGAATTTGGATTCTAATTTCATTATTTTACGTTTAAATATCTAAAAAAATACAAAAATACTTTTATATTGTCATTTAGTCTAATGCTGCATATATAAAAAGAAAACACTTCAACAAACAGATCTTTTAATTCAAAGTTGGACGGTAGAGACATAATCATGGCAAGTATACAATTGAAGCATATAATTAAATTAAATTTGGAAAAAGGAGAAGAAATAATTTTAGTAAAAGTTTCGAAAATGGAAGTAAAAAAAAATACTATGAAAATGAAGAAAATGGCTCTCATGAGTGTATCAAAATTCAAAAGCATAGAATGGACCAATCCCCCACATGGGGGTGTGTTGTGTGTGCGCCCACCATGGCTATTATTTTTCTCCAATCATTTATTTTTTTTTTACATCCTTCATTTCATCCAAAAATAATTATTGTACCAATGACATAATTTCATAAAGTGCGCATACATATACTCGAAACTCAATCAAAAATCATATAAAATTTATTTAGAAAAGACCATTTCTTCTATTTTATCAAAATTATAAAGAAAAAAGATAATATAACAAAGCATATGTGATCATGATACATAATAAGCACATTCACCTACTTTTTTTTCGATAATCAGAATGGTTCTCCGGGCCTTCGGCCCCATTACATCCACTCTAGGTCCGAGACCAGCCTTTGTATATGGACCATTTTGATCCAGAAATTACATCTCTCTTCACCAGTGGAATCGAACTCATGACCTCGATGATAACTTTATCACCTCTCAACCAATGGGTCACCAACTGTTGGATCACATTCACCTACTTACTACAAAGTGTTTGAATTTATGTTAGTTAATTACCAATTTTTAATTCCTTATGCGCATTCCATTGATATCAACAGTGATGCACCCACCAACTTAACATGTCAGTAGAAACCCCAAAAAAAAAAAAAAATTCTAACGTCTCAAATATTAAATTTGAGCAATGAAGATTCAGTTCAAAGGGATTTGTAAAGCACAAAATTACGAGATCGCCGAATTGAAAACATTAGTTGTATGCTAATTTTTGGTACCGTGATTACTTAAAAAAGGATTTTAAAAAAAGTAATATGATTATTAAGACCAACATTTATGTATGGAAATTATGGTCAATGAGACATCACGTGTCTTTGCTAACATATATTTCCGATCTTTAACCAAAAAAAAAAAAAACATCTCTTTCCGATCGATATTTCCGCTTTTCGCTCAACGAGTCACGTACGCATGCATGCCACGCGAAGGATTGCTACACGCATCCATGCTCATTAGAATTAGAAATATATAAAATATTATAGAATATTTTTTATATATAAATCAGCGGAGAAGAAAATTAAAAATAGACGAAGATAATTTTTATTAGGGTTTGTCTTCTAGAATCTAAGAAGAAAAAAAAGTATCGCAATAGAAAAAGGGAAAGGGAACTTAATAATATATAAGAGGGAGTTGTTTCGAATCCTTTGAAACATAGCTCATGAATCAAACGAATTCCAACCAAAACACCGATATGAACTATAATATTATTGGATTCAAATTTGGATAATTTAACCGATAAAACGTATGTAAATCGTCTTTTCTGTATGAGTTTGAATCTCGGGTTTAGAGAAAAAACGTATATTTCAAATTATATAGTTGAATTTCGACCACGAAATTAATATGGATCTTGATAAAAATAAAATACTCGAGTATTTAAAAAACTATTATATAATTGGAACGTTCTCTCTCGTGGTGTTCGTGGTGTTTGATAGAGATAAAATTTGAAGTGGAAAAATCGAAAATGTTTATTTTGTCTTATATAAACGGGAATTCTAATATTTAAGATTAATTATATCATTAATTTATTCCACTAAATAAAAATGTAACTAAGTACGTCAACAATAAAATTTAATAAACTCAAAAGATCATTAGTTCGTTTCTACCTGTAAACTATAGGATCTATATATAGATAACTGCTCGAGAACCAAAAAAATGTACTTCATTGTTAAAATTCAAATGTCTTAGAAAAATAATAATAAGTGTGTTTTTCTCATAATTTTTATATGTATGTGAATGTGGCAATACGACGCTGATATATTTCACTTGGGGATATTTGACTTTGTAGGTGGTCGGCACTCGGCATATCATGCCGGGCGAATATTTGCCATAACTTTTTTTTTTGTCGCATATATTATATATATATACACACATCATAACTCTAAGAGTATATAACAATGATACTTTCAACGATTCCTCGAATATTTTATATCCAAATTAACTAATAGCATTAATTTTTACACCATTTTTTGGCTAATTAATTTCTGACGTTATTTTATTTATGATGGTTGATTGTTTTGCATTTGTATGGGAAACAAACAATTGTTAGAGTTTCCTAAATAGTTTTACTGGCATAATAATAATAAATTATAAAATAAACGAAATGAGCGGTCGCATAATCAAACGCATCAATCATCAAAGTTGTAATCTCCTCTCGTTATCATTGCTTTGTTGTATATAGCAAAATAAACGTAATCCATGACATAGTGATGTGATTATATTATTTATTACATTATTTCGTATTATTGTTTCCACCCCTAAAGTATTCCTATTTTATTTTATAAAGTGCTTTTATGCTATAATAAGCGTAGTGGCCATGATTGCATCATTTTCATTGATTTTTCTATTAATGTGGAAAACAGTTAACTATTAAAACTAATTTTCACTCAAATCATGAAGAAACATAATCATTCCCGACCACTACATCGAATTTCCTTTTTCTTTTTGGTAATATTTGCCCCCAATTTCATCTCTATGATATTATCGTTTTTTAAAACTGAAAATAATCAGACACATTTTTTTGATGAAAAAAAATAAAATTACCTAACACATATTCGAAATGATTAAAAAAAAAAGAAATATAGTATAAGGATAAGGGTTGTATAACCAGACACATATTCTATTTCTATATATCTAACCTTTAAAAAAACATAGAATAAGGATCAAGGACAGACGTTTAAAGGGCCCATCTTCCGAATATTTCAATAAAACTAAAATGGGCCCATAATTCATTAGCAGAATTTGTGCGGCCCAAAATGTTGCATACAAAAGGGGAAATACAGTGCGTGTATATATATATGTATGTATGTATAGACGGGGAGATTAATTGCTTCGGAGGACGGGGGTGGTCAGTGGTCTTGTCTGACAATTGGGAGAAGGCAAAGACGTGTAAGGTAAGCCTATGTTGTGTGTCCATGCACTTGCCAAGTGTTTGGTTTGACCCTTCGCAAACTTCCCATCAATGTCTGGAATAATTGATATATATATATAAAAAGTCTTAGATTTTAATTTTTTCTATTTATTTTCTTAATAAATATAGTTTCAAACTAATAGTATATTTAAGAAAAATAAAAGTTAATAATGACATTCTTTTATATTTTAATAAACATAATAATTTGAATTCATTTTTTTTCTATTTAGTTGTTCAAAATATATTTTTTTTATAAATTTAAGCAAATTCGGATCATCAACATAAAAAATTATTTTTAGACTAAAAACTCTTATCTACTTTTGTATTTATTTTAACTTCAGTCGATTTAGATTTGATTTCAAATGAAAAGTATTTTTTTCAATAAAAGTTTATAAAATGATAAATTTACGAATGATATATCCATCATTATAATAATTCCAATATATAGACGCTACCAATTTTTTCCTGCGATATCGAGTATAAAAATATTTGTGTTAAATCGGAAAATCTAAACGAATCATATACCACATTTTTAACTCATGTATTTGAAGATAAAAATTGATTTATTAAAAAATGGTTATAACTTTTTTTTTATCTAGAAGGTTTGGTAATAACTTTTTTCCAAAGAAAATAATTATATATATATATATATATTATGTACAAGATAATATCAATTTCTAAAAAATAAAATAAATAAAAAATTAAGAATTTAGAAACTTATTTTTTTCACTCAAACCAACATATTATGTAAAAGATAATATCATTTTTCTAAAAATAAAATAAAAATGAAGAAATTGGAATCTTATTTTTTTTTCACTCAAAACCAACATGTAGATCGAAGTGGTAGTGGGAAACTGCGAAAAATAAAAAAAGAACATATGACGGAAAATATGAATATGTGGATAAATTACGTTGCAATAATGCTTATATTATGACAACATTTTACCTCTTTTTTCTCGGAATTTTTAATTTTGTAAGGTTTTAGCCTGCAAAGTTTTGGAATTTCTCGACAATTATTCTATGCGCTATGTGTGATATCGATGAAAATAACATTGGGTAAATCGTGGGAAAAGGGTTTAAAGAAAATCCAAAGTTTGTGGAGAAAACAGCGAAAAGCCGTTGTCTTCATGCACCAAGATTAGGCTTTAACCAAACTAGCAAGCGACCGAAGCTTCTCTTTATCTTTGGATTGTTCCTGAATCTCACAGATATACGCGATTGATTAAATCGTCGCACAATCAAAAACCCATCTGATGAAATTTCAAGCTTCTGCAATCTAAAGGTTGGAAAAGACGAGGTTTTTCCGTGATCGATCGATTGATTTGGGTTTTCCAGCGGTTGGGTTTCTTTCTTTTACTTTCTCTGTCTCGATTTTCGTGTGAATTTGATGGAGTATTTGCTTAGGAAATGGTTGTTTTTGTTCTCTGAGGTTGAAGCGTCTGTTTGGCTGCCAAGAAAGTGCTGGAAAATGGAAGGGAGCTGATAATTTTGCTGTAATTTGAATCTTAGGTTTGACAGAAGGGTTTCACGGAAGATCGCTGCAACCTTTGTTTGATGATGTTGTTCGTGTTTAATCTTTGTTTGCCAAATTACGGGAAATTTGGATTTCGCTTGATGAAATTTCTGTAATCGTCTCTATGATTCATTCCTGTACTCTGCGGATTGGTTTTCAGTTTTATGAATCGAGAAAGTCTTGTTCTTCGAATTTGAATTCTTCTGAGATTACACATGCCTTATGGAACTGTTTAATTGCAGGAACTTGTTATGGAAATTATCTCACAGAACACTCCACTGCAGATTCATGTGGTAAACCCTAGTTGTAAATCAGTCAAGAAAAGTGTAGATTCTCGTCGATGCGTTCTTCGGACATCCATGAACGTTAAAGTTTTGTGCTTTAATGCTGGGAAGAGAATTGGATCTCGGGAATTCTCTTGGTGTGAACCCTTTCGATTCAGCAGTAGTAGGAAAGGTTTTAGATCTTCGAAATCGCTTGACGGCACAGGGAGATCGAATCTTGTGGTTAGGAATGGAACCACTGATGGTTATGTTATTGGCGGGGACGAGGATGTGGGAACTATAACCAGAAGACGGGAATCAGCCTCGAAGGTTTTGATCCCGGGTTTGCCCGATGAATCGAATGGCGAAACAGGTGCTCCTATCAGTAGCTGTTACTGGGAATGGAGACCTAAGCTCAGCGTACACTATGAGAAAGCGGGTTGCGAAAACGTGAATTCTCCTGCAGTGTTGCTTCTCCCTGGTTTCGGTGTTGGTTCATTTCACTACGAGAAGCAACTCAAGGATTTGGGAAGGGATCACAGAGTATGGGCGGTTGATTTTCTTGGGCAGGGTTTGTCCTTGCCGAGCGAAGATCCAACTCATGTGCCAGATGAAAAAGGTGCATTGGAAAAGAAGGAAGCGTTTTGGGGATTTGGTGATAAAGCCGAAGAGTGGGCAAGCCAGCTTGTTTATTCTCTCGATCTATGGAGGGATCAAGTTCGATATTTCGTAGAAGAGGTAAAAAAAACAGTAGCATTCATCAAAACTTGAAACATTATTTTGACGCCAAGTCGGTAAGAGCTTCTGACCTATGTTGTAGGTTATCGGTGAGCCCGTTTATATTGCAGGCAACTCACTTGGAGGGTATGTAGCTCTTTACTTTGCGGCAAGCTATCCGGATTTGGTAAAGGGCGTGACTTTGCTCAATGCCACGCCGTTCTGGGGTTTCCTTCCAAACCCGGAAAGGTTTCCATTACTAGCTCGCCTATTTCCGTGGTCCGGAACATTTCCTCTGCCTTCGAGAGTCAAAAAGCTCACAGAATTAGTGTAAGATATTCAATCCATCATCTTCGCCTGGAATGAATCATTGTTAACTTAAGATGGTGATCGTCAAATAGTCTGATGGTTCGGATTTTCAGGTGGCAAAAGATAAGTGATCCCGAAAGCATAGCAGAGATTCTCAAACAGGTTTACGCAGATCATTCGATGGATGTGGATAAAGTATTCTCTCGTATAGTCGAGATCACTCGCCATCCTGCTGCTGCTGCCTCGCTTGCTTCCATTATGTGCGCTCCCTCGGGTCAATTATCGTTCACCGAGGCTTTATCTAGGTAAAGAAAAATTTACCATCCTTCCATCTTGTTCTTCTCCCTGGGCCAACTGATCTTTACCATTTACTGAAGAACAGTGTATGATTGTTTCCAAAGGTGTAAAAAGAACAATGTTCCAATCTGTCTCGTGTACGGAAGAGAAGATCCGTGGGTGAGACCGATATGGGGATTCAAGATAAAGAAGCAAATATCCGAGGCTCCATACTACGAGATCAGCCCGGCCGGTCACTGCCCTCACGACGAAGTCCCCGAGGTACGTACGAGTAACACGGCTCGGGCATTGTGGCATTCGAACGGTACATCTGAAAAAAAAAACGTATAGGTTTTGTGTTGTGTTGGATTACGAGCAGGTCGTGAACCATCTGCTTCGCGGGTGGATCGAGCACTTGGAATCCGATGGTTCGATGTCGCTACCGCTTTTGGACTGCGAAGAAGAAGAAGATATAGAATCTGGCATTGATTGGGAAGTGGAATTTCCGAGAGACGGTGGCAGGAAATCTGTGAATCTACGGTTCTATGGATCCAAGTATTCGCTCTGGAGACAAGTTGGTTCGTACTTGAGTTCCAGTTTGAGTTTGGTACGGAACAAGTCTCCTTAGGACAAAGCATGTTAACACTTGTCTGAAAACAAGAAGGTTAGATGTAAATTATAAGACGTGCAAAATTGGTGGGGGGGGG